ACCACCACCACCCATTACGCTCACCACCATTACCCATCACGATCACCAACACTACCATCACCAACAACAACAACTACCACCATCACCATCAACTATCACCACTACCATCACCACCAACAACAACTACCACCATCACCATCAACTATCACCACTACCATCACCACCAACAACAACTACCACCATCACCATCAACTATCACCACTACCATCACCACCAACAACAACTACCACCATCACCATCAACTATCACCACTACCATCACCACCAACAACAACTACCACCATCACCATCAACTATCACCACTACCATCACCACCTACAACAACTACCACCATCACCATCAACTATCACCACTATCATCACCACCTTCAACTATTATCACCATCATTACTCTGTACCAAATGAAGGAGGAGGGTTAAGCAGAAGGAGAAGGAGGAGTTAGAGGAAGGAGAAGGAGAATGAGGAGGAGAAGGAGGGAGATGAAGAGGAGGAGGAAAAGGAAGAAGAAGAGGAGGAAGAGGAAGAGAAGGAGAAGGAGAAAGAAAAGGAAGAGGAAGAGGAGGGGGAAGAGGAAGGGGAAGAAGAGGAAAAAGAAAAGTAAGAGGAAAGGAAGAAGAGGAAGAAGGGGAAGAGGAAGAGGAAGAAGAAGAGAAAGAGGAGGAGGAGAACTAATGCTTTACTAATATTTGACCGTTTCATTAGCAGAGGTGCCAAAGCAGACGGCATTATTTTTCGTGTTTACAGATTTAATTATTCAGGCCAGCCTTTACCTGTGCCAGGGGCCTGAAGATGGCGTTCCTAGTGGGTCTCGTGTCAAGGCTTAGGAACGGCGGAATGTTCTACCGGTGTTGGGGAACGTAGGAGTGGTCTTGACTTGTCGTGGAGAACGTCTGGGTGTGTTAGAGGAACGGTAGAGGGTGTTGGGGGAGCGGTAGAGGGTGTTGGAGGAACGGTAGAGGGTGTTGGAGAATAGCAGAGTATGTTGGAGTGATGGTGGAGTGTGTTGGAATGAAGGTGGAGTGTGTTGGAGTGATGGTAGAGTGTGTTGGTGATGGTGGAGTGTGGTGGAGTGATGGTGGAGTGTGTTGGAGAACGGCAGAGTATGTTGGAGTGATGGTGGAGTGTGTTGGAGGAACGTTAGTGTGTTGGAGGAACAGCAGAGTGTGTTGGAGGAACGGTAGAGTGTGTTGGAGTGTTGGTGGAGTGTGTTGGAGTGATGGTGGAGTGTGTTGGAGGAACCGTAGTGTGTTGGAGAACGGTACAGTATGTTGAAGTGATGGTGGAGTGTGTTGGAGAACGGCAGAGGAAGTTGGAGTGATGGTGGAATGTGTTGGAGTGATGGTGGAATGTGTTGGAGTGATGGTGGAATGTGTTGGAGGAAGGTGAGTGTGTTGGAGTGTTGGTGGAGTGTGTTGGAGTTTGGTGGAGTGTGGAGGACGGCAGAGTATGTTTGAATGATGGTGGAGTGTGTTGGAGTGATGGTGGAGTGTGGGAGTGATGGTGGAGTGTGTTGGAGTGATGGTGGAGTGTGTTGGAGTGATGTGTGTGGAGTGATGGTGGAGTGTGGAGTGTGTTGGAGTGATGGTGGAGTGTGTTGGAGTGATGGTGGAGTGTGTTGGAGTGATGGTGGCGTGTGTTGGAGTGATGTGGTGGAGTGTGTTGGAGTGATGGTGGAGTGTGTTGGAGTGATGGTGGAGTGTGTTGGAGTGTGTTGGAGTGATGGTGGAGTGTGTTGGAGTGATGGTGGAGTGTGTTGGAGTGATGGTGGAGTGTGTTGGAGGAACGATAGTGTGTGTTATTGCCCTTAGAGAACGTAAGTGTTTTCTTCACCTACCCTGGAGAACGTGTAAGGGTATCAGAAGAACGTAAGAACTCCTTCTACTGGAGTCAGGAGTGAGAGAGAGAGAGAGAGAGAGAGAGAGAGAGAGAGAGAGAGAGAGAGAGAGAGAGAGTCACACCATCCCAGCATCTCACTTCCGTTTCCTCTTCCTCAGTTAGATAAGTTGTCATAAAAAAAATATATATATTCAAAACATAAATTAAAAAAAATATATATTATTTCTTGACGCTGAAAATATTGTAAAGTTTATTCTCCGAAGATCCAAGTTTGCTCGGAGTTACAGGAGCTGGTCACTCAAGGAGACTTTGTTACTATCTGTGAGTGACGATTGTACGGTAACTTACTGAGAAAATTATGGAGTTACCAGTTTACTCAAAGTTCGGCAAGAAACTACTTGATAAACCGAGGCAGAATGTAAAGTGTGAGGACTGAAGGCTTTACGGCAGCTGTGAGTACAACTGTTGTATTGTGGAGGTTTACAACCACACTACAATTACTACAACAACAACGACTAAAATAATAATAACAACAACTACAAGAACAATTGCAAAAATCTAAAGCCATAATAAACAAAAAACAACACCAATACCGTAACAACATAAATGACAGCTACAACAACAACAACAACAACAACAATTATTAACATTATTATAAATTCATAAAAAATTATACAATTTATGGTTCGCAGTTTTACGTATTTCATTTACTAATTTATTTCATCTATCTATAATAACAAAAGGACGTGTCTGTCTGTTGCTTCTAAACAGCATCAGTTAGAGAGGTGAAACTTTACACATATGGGTGCCAAGGTTGTGCACCTTGGTATTACTATTGACCACGGACCCCGGGTGGTCCAGACAAGAGGTGGTTACCCGTGTCAGGGAGGGAACACTGTGCAGTACAGTACAGTACAGAATATTATCTAGCCCGAGCCAAGCTGGGTATTTTTGCTAGTAGTTATATATTTCTTGGTATAATACTAACACTAGTTAGCAAGGGTTGGGTAACATGGATCAATAAGCTGCACTTTATTATTTTTGCGGGGATGATTTAAAATATGGCAATAAAAGATGTCAGTTACGTAACATTTTTATGATATATGTGTATATACAGTATAGTGCAGGAATATAAGATACGTACTTGTGTTGGTAGGGATATATTAAATACAAGGTTAGCAAAACTGAACAGGAGAATGGAGAGAATACAACGCCGAGGCTGAGTTAATTCACCAAATTGAGTATCCAAATGTACCTTTGACAATAAGGCCCGTTCCTCACGGAGAAGGCCTCCCTATACCTGCACCACCGGCTAATTTGGAAGAATCTCTCAACTTCGGATGAGGAAATTGAGGAAGAAATCCCAGAATCATCCCACGATCCTCCTGTCATTGACCACATCTTATAGAACAAAGTGAACTTAATGATCTTTTACGTGATCTCCGTCTGTCAAAACAGCAGGCGGAATTTTTTGCATCAATACTGCAGGAATGGAACTTGCTAGCGAAACAGACAAGAATTTCTGTTTTTCGGAAAATAAATATTAAATTATCTTCATTCTACAGTATGCAGGATTCCCTCTGTGTGTGTACTGAGGTAGATGGACTGATGCCAGAGTTGGGAGAAAAACATGACCCAAAGGAATGGCGGCTTTCATAGATTCCTCCAAGTTTAGTTTGAAGGCAGTAGTGTTGCATAATGGGAACCAGAAGCCCTCAGTTCCTGTAGCGGATTCTGTAGGTGTGAAGGAAACGTATGATAGTATGGAGAAAATACTGACCGCTATCAAATACAAGGAGGATAGATGGCAGATCTGCGAAGATTTGAAGGTTATAGCCCTTCTACGCGGCCTTCAAGGAGGGTTCACGAAATATTGCTGTTTTCTGTGTTTATGGGACAGCAGAACAACAGAAAAACACGACAATACAAAGAACTGGCCAAAGAGAGAAGATTTTGTTCCAGGAAAAAGCAACGTTAAATATACTCCCTTGGTAGACCCAAACGATGTACTTCTACCTCCTTTACACATGAAGCTGGGACTAATGAAGAAACTTGTGAAGGCTCTGGACAAACAAGGTGATGGGTTCGTGTACTTGAGGGGTATCGTGTACTCAAGAGGGCATCTTTGTTGGCCCACAGATAAGAAAGTTACTTCGTGATGAAGACTTTGAAAACAAACTGAATTAAAATGAACTAGCTGCATGGAGATCCTTCACATCTGTAGTCAAGGGGCTTCTTGGACACAAGGAGGAGGAAAACTATTGCCATCTTGTAGAGGAACTCTTAAAAAAATACAAAAACTTAGGATGCAGGATGTCCCTGAAAGTCCACCTCCTACACTCACACGTGGACTTTTTTCCTGAGAATCTTGGGTCGGTTAGTGATGAACGGGGAGAACGATTTCATCAGGACATTAGACGTATGGAGGCAAGGCACCAGGGTAGATGTGACCCTGCCATGATGGAGGACTATTGCTGGTGTTTACAATCGGAGAACAATACAACACATAAAATGATGAAATAAAATAACAATTGCCCAGACAGTGGCTAATTTAACACTTTTTGTGTCTTCTTATGATTGTTTTCATTCTTGATTGAATTTTAGTGTGATGACGTGGAAAAAATTAACAGGAATAACAGAAAAGTAGTATTTTAAATTTTTTGTATTTATAAGATTAAATTTTTTGTATAACAAATAAACTGTACGTGCCAGAGAATTTATATTGCCAGATTTGAAATCATCACCTCAAAATTACCAAAATGAAGCTCCTCTGAACCATGTTACGGATTTTTTATTTTGTTTTAATTTGTTATCTAGTGTAATGATAGTAATATATCATAAAGACGTTGGTTTATCTAACCCGAGTCTCAGAAGAGTCTACATTTATCGTTATTGATAATAAGAAACAATATACCAGAAATAATGTAATATTAACCAATCACCTCGCTCTACATAACTCCATCACCCGACTTGATATATCTCCACCAATCAGCTGCCGCCATTTTACCTGGAAACACCTCCTCACAGCCAATCAGCTACGGACAAAAAGGGCACAAACTTGGTTACCTGACAAGCAGTAAAGGTCATTCTTCACTACAATAATGACAGACTTTATTATTAAGACGAAATAATGAAGAGGAGGCGACCAGGTGGTGTACAGTACAGTACAGTATATAAGAGGTGAGGGAGGAGGAGGCCCTATCTTACTGTAACAGAACCAGTCATCATGAAGGGGTCTTGGCTGCTGCTGCTACTGACGGCTGTACTGGTGAGATGATCCTTGTGAAACACTCCCTCCACCTCCCTGTAACACTCCCTCCACCTCCCTGTAACACTCCCTCCACCTCCCTGTAACACTCCCACCTCCTTGTCTCCACCTCCCTGCCCTCCACCTCCCTGTCTCCACCTCCTTGTACACCTCCACCTCCCCTGTAACACTGCTCCACCTCCCTGTAACACTCCCTCCACCTCCCTGCACCTCCCTGAACACCTCCTGCCTCCTCCACCTCCCTGTAACACTCCCTCCACCTCCCTCCACCTCCACCTCCCCTGTACCTCCCTCCACCTCCTGTAACACCCTCCACCTCCCTGTAACACCCTCCACCTCCCTGTAACACTCCCTCCACCCCCCACCTCCACCTCCCTGCAACACTCCTCCAACACTCCTCCACCTCCCTGTAACACTCCCTCCACCTCCTGTAACACTCTCTCCACTCCCTGTAACACCCTCCAACACTCCTCCACCTCCCTGTAACACTCCTCCACCTCCCTGCACCTCCACCTCCTGTAACATTCTCTCCACCTCCCTGTAACACTCCCCCACCTCCCCTGTACCTCCCTGTAACACTCCCTCCACCTCCCTGTAACATCCTCCACCTCCCTGCAACACTCCCTCCACCTCCTGTAACACTCCCTCCACCTCAAGGTGTAACACCTCCACCTCCCTGTACCTCCCTGTAACCTCTCCTCCTGTAACACTCCCCCACCTCCCTGTACCTCCCTGTAACACTCCCCCTCCACCTCCCTGTAACACCTCCACCTCCTGCAACACCTCCACCTCCTGTAACACTCTCCACCTCCCACCTCCCTACCTCCCTGTCACTCCTCCACCTCCTGTAACACTCCCTCCACCTCCCTGTAACACCTCTCCACCTCCCTGTACCTCCAACACTCTCCACCTCCTGTAACACTCCCTCCACCTCCTGTAACACCTCCACCTCCCTGTACCTCCTCCTGCACCCTCCACCTCCTGTAACACTCTCCACCTCCCTGTAACACTCCCTCCACCTCCATGTAACACCCTCCACCTCCCTGTAACACTCCCTCCACCTCCCTGTAACACTCTCCACCTCCCTGTAACACTCCCTCCACCTCCTGTCCTCCACCTCCTAACACTCCACCTCCCTGTCTCCACCTCTCTGTAACACTCCCTCTACCTCCCTGTAACACCTCCACCTCCTTGTAACACTCCCTCCACCTCCTGTAACACTCTCCATCTCCTGTAACACTCCACTGTAACACCTCACCTCCCTGTAACACTCCTCCACCTCCCTCCACCCCCTGTAATACTCCTCCACCCCGTGTAATACCTCCACCTCCCCACACTCCTCCACCTCCTGTAACACTCCCTCCACCTCCCTGTAAAACTCCCTCCTCCTCTCTTAACTACTGTACTGCTGTAACACTCCACCTCTCCTAACTACTGTAGTGCTGTAACACCCCACCTCTCCTAACTACTGTAGTGCTGTAACACCCCACCTCTCTTAACTACTGTAGTGCTGTAACACCCCACCTCTCTTAACTACTGTAGTGCTGTAACACCCCACCTCTCCTAACTACTGTAGTGCTGTAACACCCCACCTCTCCTAACTACTGTAGTGCTGTAACACCCACTTTGGTAGTATTGTTGTGAAGGAAACACGACTAAGAGAGACAAGTTTATTGCTGACTTATCAGGAACACAGCTCCAACTCTTAGTCGTGTTACTCTGCCATCTGTCCACTACGATATGAACAATGTTCAACGCTCACTTTATTACAGACCGTTGGTGTCAACATCGTGGGCGGAGCTCCTGAGCCAAATGGCGATAGGTGAGTACACACCTGTACCTCCAACACTGTTACATACCTGTTCCTCCAACACTGTTACACACCTGTACCTCCAACACCGTTACACACATGTACCTCCAACACTGTTACATACCTGTACCTCCAACACTGTAGCACACCTGTACCCCCAACACTGTAACACACCTGTTCCTCCAACACTGTTACACACCTGTACCTCCAACACTGTAACACACCTGTACCTCCAACACTGTTACATACCAGTACCTCCAACACCGTTACACACCTGTACCTCCAACAATGTAACACACATGTACCTACAACACTGTTACACACCTGTACCTCCAACACCGTAACACAACTGTACCCCCAACACTGTAGCACACCTGTACCCCCAACATTGTTACACACCTGTACCTCCAACACTGTTACATACATGTACCTCCAACACCGTTACACACCTTTACCTCCAACACTGTAACACACCTGTACCCCCAACACTGTTACACACCTGTACCTCGAACACTGTTACACACAAGTACCTCCAACACTGTAACACACCTGAACCTCGAACACTGTAGCACACCGGTACCCCCAACATTGTTACACACCTATACCTCCAATAATGTTACACACCTGTACTTCCAACACTGTAACACACCTGTACCTCCAACACTGTTACACACCTTTACCTCCAACACTGTAACACACCTGTACCTCCAACAGTGTTACACACCTGTACCTCCAACACTGTAACTTACTGTACCTCCAACACTGTTACACACCTGTACCTCCAACACTGTTACACACCTGTAACTGAAATATATTCTTTAATTTTTGTGGTAGTTAATGAACTTTACTTGAAATGTTAGTTAAGGAACTTTACCTGTAGTTTTAGTTAAGGAACTTTACCTGTAGTTTTAGTTAAGGAACTTTACCTGTAGTTTTAGTTAAGGAACTTTACCTGTAGAGTTAGCTAAGGAACTTTTCCTGTAGTGTTAGTTAAGGAACTTTACCTGTAGTGTTAGTTAAGGAACTTTACTTGTAGTGTTAGTTACGGAACTTTACCTGTAGTGTTAGTTACGGAACTTTACCTGTAGTGTTAATTAAGGAACTTTATCTGTAGTGTTAATTAAGGAACTTTACCTTTACATGTAAGTTAAAGAACTTTACCTGTAGTGTTAGTTACGGAACTTTACCTGTAGTGTTAGTTAAGGAACTTTACATGTTGTGTTAGTTAAGTAACTTTACCTGTAGTGTTAATTAAGGAACTTTACCTGTAGTGTTAATTAAGGAACTTTATCTGTAGTGTTAATTAAGGAACTTTACCTTTACATGTAAGTTAAAGAACTTTACCTGTAGTGGCAGTTAAGGTCGACATAAGTATAATGGTTGTCAGCCAATGAATATCTTATTTGTTAAGATCAAGTAAATCTATTGGTTGACCACAGTGAGGAGGACCAGGACGGTGAGCTTCAAGATGTCCGTCAGCTGAGGGAACTTGTCCGACAGGTAAACCCCAAACCAACACCTTCTGTCTCACATAAACTCGAATACAAAACTACACACTGGTGATCACAGGTTATAAATAGTACAGTTACGTCGTTCACTGTACAACGTTGACCTCAGTATGACATAACCTACTTACAAGTGACTTCATAATATTTGCTCTTGTTATCTTTACACAATATGACACTTTCTTTTCCCTGGTTTTATTATTCTTAACTAACAACTCTTTTTAACTTTGTCTCATTTCTCGTCTTAGTTATTAAGTTTTTGGAATTATCTGGTGATTCACGGACGCCTATAACTCACGGACGACTATAACTCAAGGACGACTATAATTCACGGACGCCTGTAATTGACAGCCATCAATAATTCAAGGAGGCCTATAACTCATCGACGCCTATAATTTAGATACATATAATTCACACACACACACACACACACCTTAATTCACGGACGCCAATAATTTAAGGACACCCTCTACAATAAATAAGTTAATAGAGAGGCGGTGGGGATCTTGTCGTAATGGACCCCAAATAAATCTAGTTTTAATGGAGCCCAGTAGCATTCGTTTAGGTAGATAGTCGTATGGTAGTAAAGGAATCACACGTCACCATCACCTGTCTCAGTAGATCTCCATTATTAACACACGTCACCATCACCTGTCTCAACTGATCACCATCATTAACACACATCACCATCACCTGTCTCAACTGATCACCATCATTAACACACGTCACCATCACCTGTCTCAACTGATCACCATCATTAACACACGTCACCATCACCTGTCTCAACTGATCACCATCATTAACACACGTCACCATCACCTGTCTCAACTGATCACCATCATTAACACACGTCACCATCACTGTCTCAACTGATCACCACATTCGCTTACAGGAACTTCGTGGCCTCGACCAGGATGGTGAGCCTAAGTCACCAGCTGATGAGTAAGTAACACTTGTTGCTTCAGTTACTTGTGTTGTTACTTTAAAGAACTTTTATGAAACTTTGTGATGTTACTTAAGTAACGTTTCTGAAACTGTCTTGTTACTTGAGGATTTTTTATGAAACTTTACCTGCGGTGTTAAGAAACTTTTTCAAACTTAACCCCTAGTGTTACTTAAGGAACTTTATTAAGACTCCTCTAACACCCCCTAACACCCTCTAACACGTCATAACACATTTTAATACTCCCTAATACCCTCTAAAAACACCCTAACACCCACTAACACCCCCTAGCACCCTCTAACACACTCTAACACCCTTTAACACCCACTAACACATTTTAATACTCCCTAACACCCCTTAACGCCCTCTAACACCTCCTAACACCCTCTAACACCCTCCAACACCCCCTAACACTCCCATAACTACAATCAAGTGTTCTTCCCCAGAGAGATGGGCCACGAGGTTGAACTTCGAGTGCTAAGAAGACTCAGTATGAAGGTAGAGTCACATTAACTTGTTGTGTTCTGTCTGATGATTTAGCCTTCAGCAGCCAGTGGGTTACTCCACCACCTTGGCAGCATGCTGGTCCACCCAAGGGTTGTTCCACCATCATTCAGCAGCCAGTGGGTTACTCCACCACCTTGGCAGCATGCTGGTCCACCCAAGGGTTGTTCCACCATCATTCAGCAGCCAGTGGGTTACTCCACCACCTTGGCAGCATGCTGGTCCACCCAAGGGTTGTTCCACCATCATTCAGCAGCCAGTGGGTTACTCCACCACCTTGGCAGGATGCTGGTTCACCCAAGGGTTGTTCCACCATCATTATTTTACGTTTCATGTTTCACGATCATTATCTTATGTTTCATCACCGTTATTTTATGTTTATTATTTTGTTCATCCTTATCAGAGGCTGAAGGAGAAGACAAAGCAAATAGCGAAGAAAGTGGGAGGAAAGGTGAAGGAGTTTGCGAAGAATGAATTAGTGAGGGAGGCAGTGAAGGGTGTTGGCAAAGCGGTAAGTGGCGTCTCATTAAATTACATGGAGATCACTGAAAGATTATCCCTTTGCTTATTTTAACTATTATACTTCCAGGTAGCGTTAGGGTGTTTAATCATCCAGATGTGAGGTCATGTAACATAATAATTAATAGTAATGGTGAACCCTGCTGCCATATGGCATCACGAAAATTGTGACCAAGTCCCAGGTTGCTGATCTGACTTTCTGCCTCATCTATACACAATTGGTGGGTCTTAATTGTCTCTCTCACTTTTGGAAAACCAACAAAAATAAGCATACTCGTCCTTGATCTGTTCTATTCATTCTATTTAATTCCTCATGTCAGTTGTTATTAATAAATTAGGGGCCTCGGTGGGTACTGGTCAGAAAGATGTTGGCCCCAGGGCCGACCTGATCGTATCAAACTACTGGGGCCTCAACTTGTCGCAGGCTTTCACACTTCATTTTTCCAACACTACTGGGCAGAGATCCTTTCCTCTGAACTATCCTCTAACCCTCTTCCCCCGACCTCTTACTACTATCTGAACTTCAACTGACCAAGCAGCTTCCCCAAACCTTTTCAGTCTCTAACTACAACCCTTACACCTACTTCCGTTTCACAAGGGAGGTTATGTGCTACTACCCGTAGTCCTATAGCCCGACTCACGGATCTTGAATCTTCCTGTTAGTCATCTGGCTAAAAATATCTCTACCAACTATGACTATTTTCATTGTTTTCCTATCACTTGTTCTCCAACTCTACCAACTATTTCGAACTCTTTGACTATCTCACTTCCTGCCTAGTCGTTGTATCTCTACTCCACAAAATCCTCCTTTGAGGGTTTCAATGTACAATCAGCCAAAGATGCACCGACCCCACCTGGGTCTCTTACTCGCAATTTTACCTGTAAGCATGGTGAAGAGGCTGTATGTAAAAGGTGATTGTGATTGGTGGATCTATTTTCGGCTGTATCACGACCAGGATAAATATTAAACAAACCAATAGGTAATTTTTTAATAAACTATTCATTGTTATTTAAGGTCATGAGACGTTTCCAAATGTTCGTATATTTGATTAAATAATGAAGAAAATTATATCAAATGGAACTCAACTACTCACACCAGCCTAGATTCACATCAAATTCTCTTTACAAAATATAAATCTCATGACTTTAAACAAATAATTCGAAAAATTTTAATTCTCCAGTCATAACAGCGACCACCAATCACTACCAACCTTCACCAAGTATTGCCAGTAAAATTAGCGGTAGAGACTGGTGAATCGGTCATCTTCAACTCTATCTGAAGTGGCTTGGCTCTGCAAGGATGACCAGGTGGAGCTGAGGCACTCATTTTCCTTGCCATGGATTTGGAACAAATAATCAACCACCACGCGTTCCTGATCGACACGATCAACTTGCTAAATTCTTGATCACCTCTAACCCTCACACTATTCAAAATTTCTTGCCTTATAGGGTCTTCTGATCATAAACCATTAAATGAAACTGGACACACCTCCCCCACCTCCCTCTAAGCGTCCTCTATGGCACTATCGGAGGGCAAACTGTCACCCGAGAATTTCTTCACCGACTCATCCTTGGGATGAATGTTGCTTTTTCCATCAGGGACGCCTCGGTATGTTGACAAGTTATACTGAGTGGTAATAGTGCGGTTATCCATCTTCTACCAAAACCTTCGCTCCTGCTCCCTTGCATGCTGGTGAGAGATAAGGGCATATCGAGATATGAAACTATCCCCTTATCCTATACCCACTCTGTTTTCATTACTTCTAATAATTGTTGTATGGATATTCTTTAAAATTAAATAAAAAAAGATCGCTGTCCTCTAAATCCTTCTGGTCTTAACCAACTCTCTGTAACTGCACTCCCTTTCTATCTCTTCCGACCTGATAACTCTATAACTCTCTCCCCTTATAAGTCAATCTTTGGCACCGTATTCTCCTCTAACTCCTTCCAACTCTCTCTCACTCCTCCTATAATCTCCACTCGCAGGGTTGCCGGTGTGTTATCCAGGTTGGATGTAGTAAGGTGCATGGACCAGACGGAATACCCCCTCGCGTTCTGAGAGTGCTGAGCTGGCTGTGCTTGCTCACCTCTTTCGCCTTTGCCTCAACAAGCTTTCCTTCTTCTTGGGCTTGCCTCGTTCAGCCCATCCTGAAGAAGGGTGACCATTCTAATCCCTCTAACTATCGCCACATTGCCCTAACTTCATCTCCCTAAAGATTTTCAACTCATCATGACTCCATTTTCTCATTACCTTGAACGCCATTCTCTTTTGTCGGATCACCAGTATGTCTTTCGCCAGGTGAGATCTACTGGTGATCTGCTCTCTACCTATCTTTGGTCATCTCCTTAAGGATTATGGGAAACTTTTGTCGTGGCCCTCGACATCTCCAAGACATTTGACAGGGTATGGTACAAGTCTTTGCTTTCTAAACTTCCCTCTTTTGGTTTCTCTCCCCCACTTTGTTCTCTCATCTCTATCTTCCTTGAAAACCTATCCATGGCAGTTGATGTCGAAGGATTGATCTCTCGCTCTTTCTCTACCAATAGTGGTGTCCCACAGGGTTCTGTTCTTTCACCAACTCTCTTCCTTCTTTTTATCAATGATTTACTTAACACTACAACTAATTCTGTCCATTCTTACGCTGATGATTCTACTCTTCATTCTTCTTCATTTTCCTTTCCCCTAATTCTCAAACTAGATCTGTTTCTAGAGCTGATATTATTTCATCTGTCAATGCGGATCTGTGCAGCATCTCCGAATGGGGAGATAGAAACTTGATTAAATTCAATAGTCATAAAACACAGTATTTGCATATTACACTTTCCAAATTAGATGATCTCCCACCAATCACATTTCAGGACTCTATCATTCTGCCAAATTCTAAAATAGATATGCTGGGCCTCACCATTTCCTCTAATATGTCATGGAAGTCACACATCCTCAACATTGCTAAAGCTGCCTCCTGAAAGCTGAGAATGCTGTTCAGATGCCGTAGCTACGTCACTCCTGAGCAGTTGCTTCCGGTATATATGAATTCATTGGTCCTAACTTGGAGTACTGCTCTCATATCTGGGGTGGCTCTTCTTCTGTCCAACTGTTAGATAGGTGGAATCAAAGGCATTTTTCTTATTAACTCTCCTTTAGTTGATAATCTTTTCTTTCCTTTCTCTGCCGCAATGTTGCTTCACTCTCTTTAGGTACTTAATGACAATGTTCGGTGGATTTGGCATCCTGTGTACAAGGCCGTGGGCTCGTAACACGTCTTGCCTGCGGTGCCCACCGTTTCTCTGTGAATGTCGGTCACACTAGAATAACCCGTTATAGTACATCCTTCTTTCCTCACAGCCAACTGTGGAATGCTCTGCCTTCTTCTGTGTTTCATACTCATACAATCTGTCTCACTTTAAAGAGCTGGTTTTCCGGTATCTTCGAGGTGTAGATTAGTATAACCTTTTCCTTTTCTATTCTTAATTTCTTTTTATTTTTTCGCCCCCAGGCCTGTTGTGGGTCGTTGACCTGTGCCTGTGGGCGAATCCCCGTAAAAAAATGTAGCGATATTTCTCTCACACACACACACATCGTTTTCTGTATATAACATCATAACCTTTTTTGCAGGCCATTGGTGCAGCAATGCAGGGTTGACCTCAATGCTGTGACGAGGTATGCTGAGTATAACGATTGATGAATATAATGATTGATGGGTATAATTAATGCACTCATGAGCATAATATAATAATACTACTAATAAATATAAGTTCACGTCATTGTCACGCCTCTCTCCTCCACCCTCCATCGTCCTCATCCATATCCCTCCTCCATCCTCTTCCTTCACTACTACATCTTCCTCCTCCACTCCTCCATCATCATCCTCCTCCTCCACTCCTCCACCCTCCTCCTCACCTCCATCAACATCCTCCATCCTCCTCCACTACTCCATCTTCCTCCACTACTCCATCCTCCACTACCCATCCTCCTCCTCCACTACCCCATCTTCCTCCTCCACTACTCCATCTTCCTCCTCCACTCCATCCTCCCTCCACTCACTCCACTCTCCTCCACCTCCATCCTCCTCCCTCCACCTCCATCCTCCTCCTCCACTACTCCATCTTCCTCCACTCCTCCATCCTCCTCCTCCACCACCCATCCTCCTCCACTACTCCATCTTCCTCCTCCACACCATCCTCCCCACTACTCCATCCTCCTCCTCCACCTCCATCCTCCTCCTCCACTACTCCATCTTCCCTCCTCCACCTCCATCCTCCTCCACCTCCATCTTCCTCCACCTCCATCCTCCTCCTCCACTCACTCCATCTTCCTCCTCCACCTCCCCATCCTCCTCCTCCACTACCCCTCCTCCTCCTCCATCCTCCATCCTCCACTCCTCCATCTTCCACCCCTCCATCCTCCTCCATCTTCCTCCTCCACCTCCATCCTCCTCCTCCACCACTCCATCTTCCTCCTCCACCTCCATCCTCCTCCACCTCCATCTCTCCACCTCCATCTTCCTCCTCTACTACTCCATCTTAATCCTCCACCTCCTCCTCTTCCTCCACCTCCACTTTTCCTCCACTACTCCATCTTCCTCCTCCATCCACCTCCTCCACTCCTCCTCCACTACTCCGTCTTCCTCCTCCACTACTCCGTCTTCCTCCTCCACTCCACCAGTTAACACAGTTTCATCATAATATTTCTCACACTTTACAGGTTTGATACAAGATGTTGACGACTACAGCTTCGACCTGACCTGCCCGACCTTCCTCTTACCTACAGGGATACAGAAATACACTAACACCGGCACATTACAATACAACACTAACTTCACTTTACATTACAGTAACACAGACACAACACTACCAACTGTAACTTTACTTTACATTACGTAACACAGACACAACACTACCAACTGTAACTTCACTTACATTACAGTAACACAGACAAACACTACCAACTGTAACTTCTTCTTTACATTACACTAACACCGGCACATTACAATACAACACTAACTTCACTTTACATTACAGTAACACAGACACAACACTACCAACTGTAACTTTACTTTACATTACAGTAACACAGACACAACACTACCAACTGTAACTTTACATTTAACATTACAGTAACACAGACACAACACTACCAACTGTAACTTTACTTTACATTACAGTAACACAGTAACACAGACACAACACTACCAACTGTAACTTTACTTTACATTACAGTAACACAGACACAACACTACCAACTGTAACTTTACTTTACATTACAGTAACATTACAGTAACACAGACACAACACTACCAACTGTAACTTTACATTACAGTAACACAGACACAACACTACCAACTGTAACTTTACTTTACATTACAGTAACACAGACACAACACTTCCAACTATAACTTCACTTTACATTACAGTAACACAGACCCAACACTACCAACTGTAACTTTACTCTACATTACGGTAACACAGTCACAACACTACCAACTGTAACTTTACATTACAGTAACACAGACACAACACTACCAACTGTAACTTTACTTTACATTACAGTAACACAGTCACAACACTACCAACTGTAACTTTACTTTACAGTAACACAGACACAACACTACCAACTGTAACTTTGCTTTACATTACAGTAACACAGACACAACACTACCAACTGTAACTTTACATTACAGTAACACAGACACAACACTTCCAACTATAACTTCACTTTACATTACAGTAACACAGACACAACACTACCAACTGTAACTTTACTTTACATTACAGTAACACAGTCACAACACTACCAACTGTAACTTTACTTTACAGTAACACAGACACAACACTACCAACTGTAACTTTTGCTTTTACATTACAGTAACACAGACACAACACTACCAACTGTAACTTTACTTTACGTTACAGTAACACAGTCACAACACTACCAACTGTAACTTTACTTTACAGTAACACAGACACAACACTACCAACTATAACTTTACTTTACATTACAGTAACACAGACACAACACTACCAACTGTAACTTTACTTTACATTACAGTAACACAGACACAACACTACCAACTAACTTTACTTTACATTACAGTAACACAGACACAACACTACCAACTGTAACTTTACTTTACATTACAGTAACACAGTCACAACACTACCAACTGTAACTTTACTTTACATTACAGTAACACAGACCCAACACTACCAACTGTAACTTTAATGATTTATAAGTAATTATCTTCACCTGACAGAGAAAAGTACCAACACTTTAACGTAACTTTATCAACTACACATGTCATGATTTATTGTATGTATCTTAACAAATGTATCTCACTAAGACACATATGTGGTGGTGAGGGAAACACAAGCTGCTGGTTCCTTTGTTACCAAACTCATCTTTATCAGCAAAATTAAATGTTTTAATAAAATTTAAGATTATATTAAGATCTGAGAAACTAAATGTTTAAAGGACTTTTCTCCTGAGTGCCAGAATCATCAGCCAATGTTTATCAATATTTCTTCCTCAAATAAAAAAATCAACCAGTGAATATTTTACTTCCTGTCTCCATTATTGTTTTAGTGGTCAGGTGTCCAGACAGTGTACACGACAGACAACTTTAGTCTTCATGAACACCTTGGGTACGAGGGTCTCTCTCTGCTGAATAAATCGTCTGGCGTTAACCAAACAAAACGTCCAGTAGTGAAGGGGTTAACCTAACAATTACATTATATAAACAATATTAATGAGTACACAAATATTTACTGCAGATATAATTTATCTTAATGAAGAATAACATAACAATAAAGGGCCATCTTGACCTCGTGTGTGTGGGGGGGTGGAGTGTGTGTGTGGGTGTGTGTGTGGGGTGCAGTGTGGGTGCAGGTGGGGGTGTAGTGTGTGTGTGGGGTGTGTGTGGGGTGTAGGGTGGGGTGTAGTGTGTGAGGTGAGTGTGTGGGGGTGTAGTGGGTGTGTGGGTGTGTGTGGGGTGTAGTGTGGGGGTGTAGTGTGTGGGGTGTAGTGTGTGTAGTGTGTGGGGTGTAGTGTGTGGGGTGTAGTGTGTGGGGTGTAGTGTGTGGGGTGTAGTGGTGTAGTGGATGGGGTGTAGCGTGTGGTGTAGTGTGTGGGGTGTAGTGTGTGGTGTAGTGTGTGTAGTGTGTAGTGTGTGTGTAGGGTGTAGTGTGTAGGGGTGTAGTGTGTGGGGTGTAGTGTGTGGGGGTGTAGTGTGTGGGGGTGTAGTGTGTGGGGGTGTAGTGTGTGTGTGTGTGTGTGTGTGTTTGTGTGTAGCTCATCACAACAGCTGCCAACCTGCCCTTACCAGCCCCACAAACTCCCACCAAGCAGGTCGGTCCCTACAGTAACTCTCACAGTGTCAACATAAATGACTAAATATATCCTGGTGGACCCAAGACCACTACAGACACCCACCAACATGATATATAAAGATAATCAAACTATATCATATACGTATTTACATGTTTTATATTATAGTCGCTCATATGAAAATGTTATTTCAGCTAACTCGTGGTACTGCAAAACCTTCCCTAAATGTCCTGGGAAGATAATATTTTACAGTGAAACCTTTATTTAACGGACTGTATACAGATGAAAGTACGTTATATCGAGGGTCTGTTAGATGTGAAACCCTCATCTAACGAATAGTAGAGATAAAAGTCCGTTATATCGAGGGTTCGTTAGGTATGAAACCTCCATCTAACAAACTGTATAAAGAACGAAAGTCCGTTATATCGAAGATCCGTTAAATGTGAAAACCCCTCCATCTAAGGAATTATATAAGAAAAGTCCGTTATTTTATGGAGGTTTAACTGTACAATATATTTTCAACCTATCCTGATGCTGATAAAATCTTTAGTACCAGAGTATAGAAAAATCATACATTTATGCACCCAATTTTTTATTCAGTTAAAAAAAAATATAGGTGCGACATTGGGGCTCTTGTGGGCCTTATTTACCCTGAGTATAAGTTCTATTACTGTAAAGAACTAATTAGCCGCTTTCGAACCACATGGACATAAAACCCTATAACCTATAAGACCCAGAAACACATCAAAACATCACCAACCTTTGAGCTTTATGTCACCCAAACGAGTATAGCTTCATCTGAGACCCAACATGTCCCGAGTCCTTCCATGCCAGAAAACGACCCTCACTTCTACTCTGTGTGTCTGTGTGTGTGTGTGTGTGTGTGTGTCTGTGTGTGTAGTGTTAATTTGGCGTATTTTCCCATCCAAACCCCATCACTGTAGACCATGATGGGGGTACTAGGAGGCCTCTGGGACCTAGGAGATGGTCGTGGGGTGATGGGACTGGTGATGGAGGGTAAGAGGGGCAGGGGACACACACGAACGCCACACCCCCAAGGACTAAGGATAAAACATTGTGGTGCTCTAGTTAGCGGGTCGAGATGCTTGATTTACTGACTTACAATGAGGCTGCAAATTGCGTGAGTCTCCCCGGGTTATTTGTGGAGGAGGAGGAGGAAGAAGGAGAGAGAGAGAGAGAGAGAGAGAGAGAGAGAGAGAGAGAGAGAGAGAGAGAGAGAGAGAGAGAGAGAGGAGAGAGAGAGAGGTAGACTGGAGAGGAGAGAGAGAGAGAGAGAGAGAGAGAGAGAGAGAGAGGAGGAGAGGACGAGGAGTAAGAGGGAAGGAGAGGAGGAAAGTAGACGAAAGAGAAAAGAGAGACGTAGAAGAGGATAGGGTGGAAGAGAAAGAGGAGGAGGAGAAGGGGTAGGATATCGAAGAGGAGATAGGTAAAGAAGAGAGAGGGAGAGAGAGAGAGAGAGAGAGAGAGAGAGAGAGAGAGAGAGAGAGAGAGAGAGAGAGAGAGAGAGAGAGAGAGAGAGAGAGAGAGAGAGAGAGAGAGAGAGAGAGAGAGGAGAGAGAGAGAGAGACAGTACTGTTATGTCTCCAGATACACTAGTGTACACTTCACATGAGGGAGTGAGAGGGGGGGGAGGGGAGACAGGATAGCCCCCTAGGTAAACAAAGCCTCTGCAGAACTCATCTAAGCTGTGTTGTTCAGTCGGTTAAAACTCATAATTTACGTCGTGATCATTCTTCGCGGTTCACTTACTTTAATTACATGTTATTTTTGTATTATGAATTAATAAATAATAGAAAATTAATAATGTCTCCCTTTGTACTGTGTCCCTGAGAGAAAAGCCCACCTACCTACAGTAAGTACTTTAAACCCCACACACTACACCCCCACACACCACCTACACACACCACAGCCCTACACCCCACACACTACAGCCCCACACCCCCCACACACTACAGCCCTGACACACTACACCCCCACACACTACAGCCCACCCCCACACACTGCTGGGTGCCCTACACCCCCACACACACACACTACAGCCCCACACACTACACCTCCCTACACCCCCCACACACTACACCCCCTACACACTACACCCCATCCACTACACCCCCATTGACGCTACACCCCCTCATTCACTACACCCCATTCACACTCACACCCCCACACACACACTACACCCGGCATCACACTACACCCCCACACTACACCCCCACACACACTGCACCCCACACGCTACACCCCATTCACACTGGCCACCCCATCTTCACTGGCTACTCTCACACACACTACACCCCCACACACTACACCCCACACACTACACCCCACACACTCACACCCCACACACTACACCCACACACACTATACCCCTCATTACACTACACCCCCTTCTACATGACACACTACACCCCCACACACTACACCCAATACTACTACACCCCTCATTGCCTTACACCCCTTACACACACTACACCCCATTATCGCTACACCCCCATTCACTACACACCCCCTCTATCCACTACACCCCCACACTACACCCC